TCCCTATAGATTCAAAGAAAGTTCCAAGACTGACATTCACCAGCAAAGCCAAGGTCTTTTGCCTACCAATAGAGCTAGAAGGTGGGGTCAGCTTTGCTCAAAGTACATGGTTGAAGGCATCAGGGAGAATAGTCTTCCCCCCAAAAAGAAAGAAAGATCAGATCTATTACCAGAATAAGGGATGTGAGAGTTGGGAAATTAGTAGATTGTCCTTGTGTTACTAAATAAATACGTGTTAACTAAGAAATAGTAGTTTGTATAGTCTAAAGCTTGAGGTGATGTTAATAGTACTATTCCATGTTGATGATTTATAAAGCTGAACGGCCATGTTGGTAAGGAAGTAGTTCATCATGTGCTTTTAAATTCACAGGTCTCCTTGGTCCGGCAAAGAGAGAAGCCTGGTTGCAGTTGAGGGCTGAGATCGAAGCCCTGACAGATTCTTGGCTGACCTTGGCCCTGAAAGCACTCTCTCTTATTCACTCCCGGTGAGGCTCTCTGTGTGGCCTTTGCTGAGAAATGGGCACTGCTCATGCTTGTTCATTTTGGAGATTTATTTTTTAACAGTCTTGATTTCTTTCTGTTCTCATAGGACAAACTGTGTGAATATTTTAGTAACAACTACACAGCTCATCCCAGCATTGGCCAAAGTCCTGCTATATGGGTTAGGAATTGTATTTCCAATAGAAAATATTTACAGTGCAACTAAAATAGGTAAGCCTTTATTTTATATATATATATTTTTTTTTTTTTTGGAGAGATTTTCACTGTAGGGCGTGTGCACTCGCCAGACAGACAGAGAGAGACATAGAGACAGAAAGCGAGAAATCACCCCCCGGGGGGATGGTCACGCCACAATCCCTTCTCCTCCATTCTCCTCTCGGGATCTTGGACACGCACACACACGCACCCGGCGTGAGTTTTAAGCCACCGGGTCCGGGACACGAACCGCAGTCGACTACGTGGGAGTCCAGCGACATAGCCATTATGCTAACTGCTGGTTCTCAGCCTTTATTATATTTTTTAAAAATAAATCAACCCTTTTCCTTTAGGCTAGTAAAAATTAAAGGCACTAAGTAGTAAATGACCCTTTCCCTCCTCCCCCCCAGAAAGTTAGGTAGTACAAAAATAAAAAAAGTAATCAATTTCATTTTCAAAATTGACTTTAGACATCAAGGGCAATATGAAGCATAATTCATGTAGCTGAAGTCATAAAATTTTAATGTACTAGCTAACACTAAGACCTGGGCATTTTATAGATTATAACTTAGCATCAATTCTGGTTTGCCATCTTATTTTTATTCTTTTAGACAACATTAGCAAAAAATATTTTATAAATTAAAATGAACAGGATTGTAGAATTGTATAAAGTAGAAATGAAACCGTGCAAATAACAGCTTTATTATTACTAGAAAATTTTTTTCAACATTTTATTAACATTTTTGTTATAGGGATACAAAAAAATATAAGCTTCTTGTAAGAAGAAAACATAGTTGGGGTGGTAGAAAGACTAATATAAAATTCATTGAGAATATAAACCAAGACAGTAGAAGTAAGAAAAACAGAAGACATGGCTCTTATTCTCAGGGGAAGTAGGTATCTAAATAACATGATAGAAAAGCATGTAAATAGGCATTTATTAGTATCTATTTGATGCTCAGAACCATACTAAGCATTTTACATATTATCATTAACCTTTACAGTCTTTCCATTTTCCAAATGAGGAAATTGTAGCTCAGAAGCTTAAGTAAATAAATTGTTCAAGTCAATAGTTAATAAAACTGAAGTTCAAGCCATAGGTCTCTTTGATTCCAAGGTCCAGACTCCTTTCCATACCCTAGATCATCTTGCTGTTGTGTGCATGGCTGAGGAAGCATTCACTCCAACCTAAGAGGAGGGAGAGAGCAAATGTCAGTGGAATGACATTTTAGCTGGGTATAGAAAGGCAAGTAAAAATTTACTAGACAGATAGGCTAGTGAGAGGAGAGGGTCAGAGTTCTAATAACAAGTCCTACTGAAAAGAGTTGTGAGTTGCCTAGGTCACTAGTGTATTATGCTCATGAGAAGATGAAGCTGGTGAGGTAGATAAGGTCTAGTCATAAATGACCTTGTACATTACTCTAGAGAGATGAATTTATTTTTATAAGTCTAATATCCTAGTAAGTAAGGAGAGAGCTGGATTTAGCTGCTAAACTCTATCTTTTTAAAAAAGATGCAAAAATAGAATCTCTGTAGGTCTAATTTTCATCTGCCTTCACTTTTATACTTTTATTTTTACTACAAAGTGTTTACTAAATGATCACTAAAGAATTACTCATATAATTATTTGTTCATATTATGACTTCTCCAACAGACTGTAATAATCTTGAGTGCTGTGCTTCTCTTGATCATCCTTGTAGCTACAATGTCCAGCCCATAGTAGGCACTTACTAAATGTTTGTTAAATCAAATGTATGAATCAATAGCTGTTAATTTTGAAGAATGCTGACACAGAGATTTCTTTTCAGCACTTGGGTTGGTAGTAGGTACAATAATTAATAATGGGGAAATCAAGTTTGAACTTATCAATGTTGACTTTAAAGATCTTATGGGGGGGGGAGTCAGCAGGTGACTTAATGGTTAAGACACTGGCTAACCGTGGTTCAAGTCCCAGACCTGGTGGCTTGAAACTAACACTGAGTGCATGTGTGTGCATGCCCAAAATCCTGGAGGAGAATGGAGGAAAAGGGATTTTGGTGTGGTCATCCCCCTGGGATGAGTGATTTCTCACTTACCCTCTCTGTCTCTCTAGTAAGTGTGAACGCCTTATAGAAAAAATTTCTCTCTTCAAATACGTATCTGGTATTTGAGAATAATGGACGCTAACTGAAAAATATTCTTAGTAGCTCATATAACCAGAGTTTTTATATACTTTCATGTTGCATAAAAATAGCAGTCAGTTTACATTAATTAATGTGTTAATCCTATTTTCATCTGAATCAGTAAAGAGGAATTATATTGTGTTCTGTAAGCAGGGATGCTGGTAAAGGTTTATTGGCACATGAAAGTTGGAACAAATTCCAAAGAAGCATGTAATACAAAAGGAGTAGTGCTTAGCTTCCCAGAAGAAATGTATAAGTAGTGTATTACATATCATGTTCCTTGATGTTTAATCTTGAAAATTTTGAAAGTAGTAATTAGAAATTAAGTAGAAATTAACAAACCAATAAGCATTAAGTATTTTTAATGGGAATTTTGTTTGAAATATTGGACTTTAATTTTTCAGTACAGCATAAAAATTAGGAAAAACATTTTTGGTGCTAAAAATGATTTCAAACCCACTAGTAAGATCTCACTTTTCCCTGTTTATTTAAAAGAGTTATTTTATTTAACGTTATTTATTTATTTATTTAGATTTGACCAGAGAAGGCCAGAGAGAGAAAGAGAGAGAGAGAGAGGAAGCAAGTGAGAAAGCAAGGTACCGGGTCTAGAACTCAAACTGCAGTCAGCCATGTGGGAGTTCAGCACCCTTAACCACTATGCCACCTGCCGGCCCCACTTTTCCTTATTTTTAATTAGGAAAAACTAGGATCATAGCTATTACTATTACTAATACATAGTAGTAGCTATTACTATTTTTGCCATCAAATGAGACGTATATGGGGATTGATGCAGAAAATTCAGGGATTCTCATTGTGGACAAAAATTCTAGTCATAGATGACTGGAATCTCATTTAGCAGAACTGTGGTGCTCTTTCAGACAAAATGGAGTCATCATAATGAATACTTTATATGAAAGATTGGTTTTCTAATTAACTTCTAAAAGTCAGTTTCATTATTTCAATCTTCATTGTGAAAAATTTCTACATGACCCCAACTCTATAATGAAAGCTATAGAAGATGATAGTATATAAGCTTTTTTTTTTCCCTTGGTCCATCACAATCTCACCTTCATTTACCTTGAAAAAATACTTACCTTCATTTTTCCATGAGAAAGAAACTTTGCAAAAACACTTGAACATTTCCCTGTAAGGAGGGGAAAAAACATTTCATGACGTGTAAACGATTGCTGTGTTTGTACAGTGAAAACTATACTTTATATCTGTTTCCTAAAGTGTTTTAATATTTCACAGTTTGGTGGACAACTAAAGAAGCATTGAAATTACATCCTTTGAATAAGGCTAGTTCTATTTCATTCAGTCAGATGCAAACTAGAGATTTTAGTGCAAAATACAAATATAAAGCAGACATTTGTTTAAGCAAACAAGCAATTTGTTCATGTGTATATCTGATCCTTATTTGAAAGAGGTGCAGGCCCTGCCCAACCATTCACATTTGAAAACTATAAACTGTCCCATTGTCCATTAAAATGACCCTATTGGCAACCCACGACTTGGAACACCAGTTTCTTCTCTAAGAAGAAACAAGGCCCACATTAATTGCAGGGATGTGCTGACAGTGTAGCTACCACAGGAGCCCAAACCGAGCCATGACATGGGCAAGATAATAGACAGATAAAGGTATCCTATTACTTTCATCCCACTTTTCCTCTAGGAAAGTGTTTTATTGAACATTAGCTGTCTCAGTAACACAGGCGTGATCTCACTGTAGTACATCAAATTACCTGACATTAATTTTAGGAGGAGTTTAATGAGAATATGCCAAGTAAACATATTAGGCTCTGGGAATTTTTTTTTCTTTTTTTTGGAGAGGTTTTCGCTATAGGGCGTGTGCGCTCGCCAGCCAGACAGAGAGAGACATAGAGACAGAAAGCGAGAAATCAACACACAGGGGGCATGGTCATGCCGAAATCCCTTCTCCATTGTCCTCTCGGGATCTTGGGCACGCACACACACGTGCCCGGAGTGACTTTTAAGCCACCGGGTCCAGGACGCGAACCGCGGTCGACTACATGGGAGTCCAGTGACATAGCCATTACGCTAACTGCTGGTTCCCGCTCTGGGGATTTTTAATTCAACTTAAAATCAGATGAAAAAACTGATTAAAAGAATTTTTTTTTTTTTCTTGTTGTAACAAAACCAAATTCAGGGTCCAGCAGTTAGCGTAATAGCTATGTCGCTGGACTCCCATGTAGTTGACTGTGGTTCAAGTCCTGGACCCGGTGGCTTAAACTCATGCCAGGTGTGTGTGCGTGCGTGCCCAGGATCCCAAGAGGAGAATGGAGGAGAAGGAATTGCAGCATGGCCGTCGCTCCTAGGGAGTGATTTCTTGCTTTCTGTCTCTGTCTCCATTTGTCTTTCTGGGGAGCACACGTACCATATAGCAAAAACCTCTCCAAAAACAAAAAAAAACGAACAAGTTCAGTTATTTTTATCTTCTAAGTAGCCTTTGTATTGAATATTTAGAGTTTGTATCATATGAACAACCTTTATTTTTTAATTTTTTATTTTTAATTTTACTAGATGATGCTTGCTAGAGAGACAGAGAGGGAAAGTAAAAAAGTAATTCCATGGAGAATGATTGTGCTGTAAGCTCTCCCTCTCTCCTTTCAGGATTTTGGGCATGAGTGCACGTGTTCCTCACCCCACTGGGCCTAAGACTGTGTGGTTGGCCTTGTGGGAGTCAATCACATTAGCCACCATGTTATGGGCTGGTCCATGACACAGGATTTTTGTTTTTTGTTTTTCTTTTTTAAGTAAAGTTCAAATAACATTACCTGAATTTCATGTCTTTGCTTAGTCTCAGCATGTAGGAAGAAAAAATACTACTCTAAGCAACACTTTTTCCCTCCAATTGCAGGACTTCAGATATATAACTGACTAGATTCAACTTTTCAAAAAATGAGTCCTTGGGAACAGAGTATTTAATTTCTCAGGGAGAAGGCACACGTTGCTAAATTAATTTGCAATTTTTAATCTGCTGTGCTGTTCCACATACTGCCCAGGCAGCATAAAAACACTCTTCTCTCAGTTGCACAAGTGGGATAGAGTCGAATCAGAAGGACCAAAGAAAGGCATTTTACATAAAAAGTGCAAGTTCTATCACGGAGTTACCTGAACTTTACATTTTCTACACTGTATTTTTGTTTACCAGGAAAGGAGAGCTGTTTTGAGAGGATAATTCAAAGGTTTGGAAGAAAAGTGGTGTATGTGGTCATAGGAGATGGTGTGGAAGAGGAACAAGGAGCAAAAAAGGTGAGCATGCCTTGATGGTGCACCTTGTGCTGTTGCTATTCCTTCTTTATTTTTTATTTTTAGAATTACTTTATTTTTTAATTTGATGAGAGAGAGGGAGAGAGAAAAGAAGGGATTGCGGCATGGAAAGTGAGAATTGTGTGGTTCCTTTTTCATAGTCTTCCAAATTCTTGTAACTGGATCACGTAAACAAGTTCCATTTCTGTGAAACGGACTAGGAATGTGTGCAAAACCATTTGCCCCAACAAAGGGCAGAGTGGGATTCAGTAACTACGAAGTGATCATTTTGAAAGTGGTGCACCCAAGCTCAAGGATCACTGGTGGTTGGGCTTCACAGACTATAGATCTGGGGGGCTAAGGGCAGAAAGGAATGCTTGGTACAACGCCTTCTGGAACAGAGACGACACATCTTCCATAGTCGGGCCAGCTTGCTCCTGTCTGCCCCCTTGGCAGGTCTTGTCAGGTGGTTCAACTCTTGTTCCCTGAGCCTGGAGGCAGCCTAAGAACCTTCCAAACTTCAGTTTAGAAAGCCTCTACCAGTTGGTCAGAGCCTTCTTGCAAGATAAAAAGTGTTTGTTACTGTTACCCTAGAGAATTCTGGCCCTACTTCTCAGTGAGAAAGAGGTAATGGGCCAGACTGTAAGCATTTTATTTTCTGAATCCCTGCAAGAGTAGGTTTATCAACTTCTCTTAACAAAAGTATTTTCCACGCCCATGATGCTGCATTCGTGAAAGGAGAGGAGCAGCACGCCCTGGTGTAGGCAGCACTGAGGGTCTTCACCGTCTGGTGCAGCCTGCCAGTTCGATCTTTCTCTTCCTGCACCTGCACTGCCATCAAGGCAGCTGCTGACCTTACTTTGAGCATGCACCATACCTGTGTACCTTTTTCTCTGCTGTCACCTCTCCTTGGAATGAGCTTTTTTTCCAATGGTCTATCACTGTCATCTCCATTTTTCCAAACTCCGTTCATGTACCACTTTTTTTTTTTTTTAAAGAGGTTTTTGTTATACGGCATATGCGCTCACCAGAGAAACAGGGACAGAAAGTGAGAAATCACCCCTCAGGGGGGATGGCAACGCTGCAGTCCCGTCTCCTCCATTCTCTTCTCTGGATTTTGGGCATGCACGCACACACACCCAGTGTGAATTTTAAGCTGCTGGGTCTAGGACTTAAACCACGGTCAGCTACATTGGGAGTCCAGCGACATAACCATTATACCATCCACTGGTCCCCGATTTACCTCTGTTTTTACAAGCTCAAGTATAGCAGCCTCACATGTACTTTGGTTGGAGGAGCTGTAGTGGTAAATAGCTTGGACTTTTTTCTTAGTTTTTTTTTTTAATGATTTCATTTATTATCATTGTTTTTCGATTTTAACCAGAGAGAGACAGAAAGTGAGAAAGCAAGCTGCCAAGTCCAGAACTTGAACCATGGCTGGCCAAGTGGGAGTTCCACACCTCAGTCACTACGCCACCTGCCAGACCCTTTCTTAGGTTTTTGCCACAGGATGTATGTGCTCACTAGAGAGAAGCATGGCCGTGCCACAATCCCTTCTCCTCTCAGTACTTTGGGCATGCACATGACATGACTCTCAAGCCACTGGGTCAGGGCTCAAACCTCAGTTGGCCATGATGCCACCTCATGGCCTCAGTAGCTTCAGTTCTTGAACCAGGCAGCCAGAGTTATGGGCCTGCCACTTACCTGTTCTGTGACCAGGTTATTTAACTCTTTTATTTCTTTTTTTCTCTTGTCAGTAAGTGGCAATAGTACTAGTACCTAAATTAGAGGGCTATTTGGAGAATTAGATTTAGTTCAGATATGGAAATTACATGTACCAAAAACTGATATGTGTGTGTGTGTGGGGGGGGTCTTCAAAAAGTTCATGGAAAGGCATATTATGAATTTCAAAATTTCTTTGTACCAAGATTAATTCGTACTTTGTTCCCCAAATTTGTGAAATCCCCTCATATGTATTAGTTATTTGTGTTTGTGCTAGCTTCAGCAATAAAAAGTGAGATTCTGAGAGGTAGGGATCTTATTTTGCTTAGGTGGTTGAACTGCTTTTCTTATAACCCCCTAAATGTTGGCATGATCATATTCGTTATGAATGTTTCTTGGATCTGAAGAGCATTCAGTATTTTAGGAGATTAACCAATAGCATAAGTCTTCCCTCCCATTTCCACATACTCAGGGGTGTGATTCAGCTCCTCGTGGATATTCTAGGATACACCAGAAATGGGGCATAGCCGGGCTACAGATGCCACAGTGAGCATCAAGGATGACGTGTGGCCAGCCTTCCCAGAGATTTCTGATATCATAATTTACTTTCGGTATCTCTGAATTCCCATAGAAAGCATAGGCACTGACCCTAATTCTACACACAATAACTGATTTCGCTGACACCCACAGATACAGAATGCGCCCAGAGTGTGCTTGGTGCTGGTGGAAACTCATACACTCCTCAGGTCTGCTCCTGCTTCCTGCAAAGCAATTTGCCACGTCAGCACTAGTTCTGACCTTCCTGCTTCACCAGTGACCAACCACCGTCGTCGCCAGTCATCTGTTAGTCCTTTGGACTTTTATAAAAAATACAGTGTTTCCCAGTCCACATTAGAATTCCCAGAACTAGGTTCTGGAGAGTTAAAGAGCATTGGTGGGAATCCAGACCCAAGTCATCCTCTGGTGAAAGGATCTGGAACTCCCAGGCTGTTTCTACTCAGGACCTCCTAGTTAGTGGTCAGGGGGCAAGGAACACATTTGCACCTCTGAGCAGTGTGGACCTGAGGAACAGTGTTTCACGCCACTGTGGCCCTGGGCCAAGGTGTAAATCTGCCTCCAAATTGGTTCTTTTCCCTCTGGTACTCACCAAAAAGTTTAATTTCAGGAGAAAGATGCTAACATGTACCTTTGTAGCTTGTAATAGGCCAAGAAAAATCCTTTGGGCCTCTATCCAGATTTCAAAGTTCTGTTTTCCTTTTCCAAACTTTTCTGATAGCTATGTTTCTTTGAAGTATAGAAAAAGATAAAGTAACGCTTGGTTTGATTTTAGAATTGAAATTATTAATAGGACTGGAGTATTTGCTGTCTTTGAAGAGCAGTTCAAGTCGTTTCCACTGTTTATTTTTGGACACATTATTCTTGTTTTATGGAACACACACAAAAAGCAAATCAGCAGTCACCTGCAGGGAACATCCCTATGAATTTCTTGACTGTGTAACAGTCCAAATCTATCTGTTGCAAACAGAAGAAACTCTTTGCACCCTGTGACCTGCCTCTGTGTGTGTGTGTGTGTGTGTGTGTGTATGTGTGTGTGTATGTATGTAAAATAGATGCTTCAGAATCCTAATAATCTTGCAAAAGATTCAAATGTTATTGTTTTCCAGCTTTACTGAAGGAGAACTTTTGTCCTTTTTAAGTGCACTGGTATATGAATAGCAGTATTTCATGTCTGAGTAAAGAGACCAGAATCTAATCACGTACAATAGGTGAGGTGCAGTTCTGCACACAGCTAGAGAGTCCTTAAGGGGGAGAAGGCTGTATGTCAGCAATATCCCATTTTAAAATTGTGTATAAGAACTCAAGCTACAGTAAATGAAGAGGTAGTGAAAGGATTCATGATCATAATGAGGACTAAGAATTACTGACTTCTTATATCCAGTCTCTCCTAGGCATTCCTAGATATTAAATTCTCACAAGCGTATGAAGATGGACTCTCCACCCATTTTACAGATGAGGAAAACAGAAAGTAGCCCGACTGTAAACTTTGTTTATAGATCTTAAATGTGATTTGATTTCCAACAAAAGTTCTACACATTTAAAAGATTTTTAGAACAAAGTGTAATTTTTCTTTCCTTAAGTAGGTATAACAATGTATCCTTTCCCATTTTATATTCATGATTACAACGGTATAAAATTTTAAAAACACATCATTAGTTCTGATACATCTTTGGATATATACTTTGGTTCCTGAGAAATTTAGATTGTGAAATAAAATTAATAGTGAGGTTCTGTCCCTTTGAGCACTAAGACGTTTTGCAAAATTAAAACATTTTGCATTCTTTCAGAACTGATTTGGACCATATAGCTTGTCTCTCAGTTTCCTGTGTCCTTTTAAAATGCAGTACAGCACTCCTCTTTTCCCTGTAGAGATGTCTTTCATCTCCCTAAACTATGTTCTTTTGCTAGAAATGCTTTTTTTTTAAGCCCAGAAACAAAACACCACATGTAAATTCTACCAGTTGCTTATTTCATTCATGATCAGTTGAAGTCTATTCTGTCATCCTTATTCTTTTGGCCAATGTAGTCTAAAGGCTTTCATCAGTAATTTAACTCTGTAATTTTTATCATAACAAAACACCCCCTTTAAAGGGAAAAAGTTAGGAGGCCTTCTTGCAAGAGTTTTCTGAGAATGCCTCTTTGTTCTGAGAAAGGCCACGCTAAGGAGAATGTCAGAAACCATCTAGCTATGAAAATCTTCCTTTGACATATCTTTTGTCCAAAAGATCTATCAGGCTTTCATTTTCTTTTTTTTATTTTTTTTTTATTTTTTTTTAGGCTTTTGCTAGAGGGCACATGCACTTGCCAGAAAGACAGAGAGATAGAAAGTGAGAAATCACCCTCCCAGGGGGGATGGCCATGCTGCTATCACTTTTTCTCCATTCTCCTCTCAGGATCTTAGGCACGCGCACACACGCACATGCACCCAGCATGAGTTTAAGCCACCAGGTCTGGGACTTGAACCACAGTTGGCTACATGGGAGTCCAACAACATACCCATTACACTAACTGCTGGTCCCCCCCAGGCTTTCATTTTCACCATAAAAATCTTTGTTTTCCTACTATAACATGAATTGAGTGAAAATCATTATGTAGAGATATGATGATTATTAAAAGTAAAAATGTAATAGTCCCCTGTACATTGACATTTTCTTTGTACTGTAAAGTACTATTGCTAAACCAACTTTACTTTTCTAAGAACTGTTTAAAATAAATCTCTTTGT